GTTCTGGGCAAGTTTGGCAGACCATTGAAGTACTTCAAAGCTGAAGTGGCAGCACGAACCTAGAATATTATCAAATCAATCAAAACCCAATGTCATAAGCAATAGTTGAAAATATTGAAAAAAACATAAAACAAATGCACAAACAATAAGTATGGCCAACCTCCGGGAAAGTAACAATAAAATTTGTTGTCGTAGTGACTTCAAATGGAATAGTATTATAAGTCAGATCCTCGATCATGGCTGCATCAGATTCCATCATATTTTTCAGCTGATCAAAGAGCAGTCAAGACAAAATGAGTTCGTTTTCAGAGAATCAGAGATTAAAGAATCTTTAGAAGTAACTAGAAAATAAAACATATATCCATGCAGTTCGGTAAAAATTCATGCAAGATCATGCTCCCTTGAAATGAATCGGACTAAAAAGTTTCACAATAATTTACTCAAACAGCAGATGAGGCATTGAAGAAAAAAAAACATGAAAATTTTGAACTGGTCAAAACGCGCGCAAGTAAATCATAATATAACAGAGAAAAACACACGCCAAACAAGACATTAGGACCTTAGACGGCTCCTGACTTCTTGGAATTCTCGAGCTTTTTCTTCCTCTTCCAAAAGAGCAACTTTATCCTTGCGCCGTTTCTTGCCAATCTCTGCAGCCTCCAAGATTTTCCTCTTCTTGCGTGTCATCCCCATCTTAATCATGTTATCATCATCCTTAGCAAATTGTTCCAAATCAAGAACTGGTTCGTGATTGGCATTATTATCCTCCGAAACTGCCTTTTCCTCAGTTGAAATTGTTGAAGGTTGAGAATCTTGAAGCTCTCTTTTTAATTCTTCATGAAACTGTTTCTCTAGTGCAGACATCTTTTGCTTTTTTTGAGCAGCTTCAATGGCTTCTGCACGGTCAGCAATACCATCAACTAGTAGATTCTTTGGATAGTCCAAATCATCAATGTCGACACCCGGCATTGGGAGAACTACTTTTTTGGCAGCGGCCTGTAGCCGTTTCATGGTCTCAGCATATTCAGGGACGTAGCCCTTTGCCTCATTGTCCACAAAAGGAGACAAGTGCGGGGGAGGAACCCTTCCGACAAAGTAATCCTCAGTTGGCAATATGATGCGAGCATTTATGCAATCAAAAACCCACTGGGGCTGAACATATTCACGAGAAAGAAATCCCCTTCCCTGTGTTGGCCGGTCAACAATCTGATGAGTAATACTCTGGTCAGATTCATTGAACGGGGCTCCTTCCCCCTCCCACGAGTAATATATCTGCACTCCTTGTTGTTGGNGTGCATATAGAGCTTAATAGCAAACATACCCTAGCTCCACCATGAAGAATAGTCCGTCCAAAGTAATGTGTTCTTGTGCCCAAAGAGGAAGTGAAAAACACAGTACAAAGTTGAAACTGCATTGTTACAAAACTAACAATTGCTTGTAGTGAAAGAATAAAAGGAGCCAATAAGAGAAATGCATGTGATTTTGTAAACAATATAGTCTCAGGAAAAAGATAGAAGAGCAAACTCATCAATAAGCACATAAAAGAAACATGAAAGTCACAAACATGAAAAGGTTAACTAAATTTTCATACTTTACATGAGATCTTGAAGAGATCAGTATTATCACTGTTAAGTAATATTTTTCAATAACATTTTATATTTTTAATATGTTCACAAATTTTTCCAATACATTTACTAAGTATGTAGTAATATATTTTCAATACATTTACTAATTAAATGCATTTATAAAATTTTTATTTCTTAATATAAAATTCTTAATACTCCCTCTGTCCATTATTTTTCTTCACAAGTTTTTGTGAGATGACATTGGCTTTCCTAAAATACCCTGGACCCAACACTCTCCATCTACTACTCTACGCCATCAGCCCATCTCCTAGAACTTGCGGCTCGTTCCATCCGGCCATGCCTCCATGAATCGCGACTCCAGGGCATACTCCATGAGCATTTCAACCATTAACTCCAATTCCAAAATACTATTAACCACGAGGCCGTGGTTCCATTTAAGTGTGAGGAGGCAAGAGTTCTTTGTTAAAATGATCTTTTTAGGAATTATTTTGTCTATATATTTGTAGGAAAAGATTTTTATAGAATAGTCATCAATTTTAATTGTTTGATTAATTAATCTCTAGTTATTACCCGTATAAATTGGAAATTTTTAAAATTTTTATCAAACTTCTATTTCTACTCTAACCTTTTTGGGAATGTTTTCTGAAATGATTTGGGATAAATTCACAATTGTCTAAGAGTTTTTTAGATCAATTAATTTTTTAAGTGCTTTATTGAAAATCTTTTTGCTGATGCTTTTTTGAGTATTTGTTGTTTCTTAAAAGGAGTTATTTTTCAAAGTATAAGGGGTGACGTTTCAAAACATACTTTGGTGAGACCGAGATTCTTATTTTAGCCAAAAAGCAATTGGATCTATGTCAATTGATGAGACGTGGTGAGTATGCCAAAAAGCACGTGGTTCTATATTGCGTGATGAGGCCTTTTGAGTGTTAGAGTCAAAAAGCATGCGGTTCTATGTTGTGTGATGAGACTTTCCAGAATGAATATCCAAAAAGCTCGTGGTTCTATGTCACGGGATGAGGTTATAAATTTTTCTCGTGTCAACATGACAAAGTTATGCCAAAGAAAATTAAACCCTTACACTTTGACAATTACTTTTGCAAGAACAAGTTTTCCAATTTAGCCATTAAAAAATTATTTGATCTTTAAAGTACTCTTACAAATGTAGTTATCCCATAGAAAGTTTGGAAAATCTTGGTTGTTTAGGTTGGTGTAAAAATATTGGTTTGATAAAATTCTTTTACATTTCTAACAATATGGGTGAGAATCTAAAGATTCGTTTATTCTTAACAAAAAGGTTGATGACTATCTTATTCCTTCTTTCCTTCATAATATGTAGCTTTAACATTGCCTCTGCAATTATTAATTTGCCTTTATACTTGTAATTATTCAATTTGTTGCTTGAGGGCAAGCAACGTTTAAGTGTGAGGAATTTGATAAGTCCATTTCGTTCTTATCATTTACATCATATTCTAAACGTTATTGCACGTAAATAGTATTTAATCATCTTATAAAATGTGATTTCAATGAATAAAACTCTCATTTTCGTTCTAAGAGTCATAAAATGGGATTCCACATTAAATTATCATAAATCATCCATTTTATGTTCAAATACTTGAGAAAAAGGGAATAAATCATCAAAGGAT